CTGAAGTGAAGAAAATAAAAGAAACAACAAGACGTCACTCGTTTCTATTCCGAGCCATTTCTGATAAGCCTCAAGTCACTGTGTTGCATTATCTCTTAGACACTTACCAAGTAATCTTGGAGAACCTACCTATCCCTGTCCTATAAAGCATTACTTCATACCACGACACCATTTCATACATTGATCATTTCTCTGCTTTTCCCAACTACCATCTTTAAGAAGGGAAGGTGTAAGTCGCTTGGGCCTAGTGATTTGCGACGTATGAGGAGCTGGAGTCCCTTGTGAAATTCTGCCTTGTTAGGTTGGTCAGTCTACAGTGGATAGAGAGGACGGGACAGTTTGATCGTTACCTCTGTATAAGTAGATCAGTCGAACTATACCTCGAAGAACTCTGTCTATCGTCCAAGATGTCAATATGCCATACTGATTGATATCCTATCAGCTCCATAGACTGTCACTCACACTCGAAATTTTGCTATCAGTGGCTTGGATAAGTCAAAAGATCTCACGGCAGTTGCCAGATTCGGCTGATGCTCCAACCACCAAATTTCTTAATGCTTAAGCAAACTTTACGCAACTTCCTTACATAAGAATGTACGTCGATTGTCAAACTCGGGGTAGACAAACGTGCCTAAGCAAGTTGTGATGAAGCTGTAGAAACTCAGTGCTTATAAGCGGGACGTTTTGAAAAGTTCCAATTGACTTTACTGACCGCCCTCATGGCGTTACGCAAATAAAGTCAGTGCTCACACATACTTTTCAAAGGGTTCATGGCTAGTTTCTAACGTAGCTCGGTTTAATATTTAGTTGCAAGAAAAGCTGCCGCCAGAGTGTTTACGTTGATCCGTTCAGGACAGTGGATTTGTTTGTCATTGAAATGGAAGATAAGATTAGCGCAAACGAGGGTATGGGAGAGTGTAGATAAGTGCTCTAAAAGGAGCACTAGTTTGGAACACAGCCAATTTAGACGTAGCCGAACTCGATGTGATCAATCTGAGTCTAGGCATAAGATGCAGAAGGAGGACACCAGATAACACATTAGCGACCACTGCGCCAATAGTTAGTACTAACTAGAAACAGGTTATATTCTGAGCATAGTTGCAGGATCAATCCTATAACCACAAGTATGTGTGACTAGATTCTTCGAAATGTATAGTGCCAATATATTGTAGTGGCTTAGCTCCGTTAATAAATCTTCATAACCGTTATTATAGAAATCCCAACTGTGTTAGAAATCAGTAGGCATTAAGAAGCGGCGACCAAGTTTATTAGCGGATAGCACGGATCACAAAAGCTACAAATACATCGAGCGAATTTGAAGCTGAGAGGCGAATAAGTGTATCCGAGCGAATACAGAGGCGAATTTATAGTCAAATCGACTCACGGTGCAGCAAGACAAGACAAAGGCTGATAATAGGATTCGAGTACATATATATGAGAAAGAGAATGACTCATCGAATGATAATCAAGCGATCAACATTTAATCTAAAAAGAGATATGTGCGTAGGCTGTCATATGATCAAGCGTACACGTTTACACAACCAAGATACTGATCATAATAGTACAGAGAAATATGAGAATTGTTACTGTTCGAATGATATTGTTTGTTAAGTTAATAAAAGGGTTTAACAAAGTTTAACCATAATCTAAGTTGGTTGTAGGAGAGCTGCCATAATATCATCTAGTTGTGAAAATCTTCATAGTAGACCATCCATATTACACTACAACCTGGTTGGATCATATTCCATAAACTAATGCTACACCGGTAAAGCCTGTTTTCTTGAATACATTAAACATATAATACAACCTTTTAATGTACTTTAGCATTATGACTAACAATAAACTTCATTTAAAACTTAGAACGAAAGTGTTGTGTAAACTGTTAAATGTACTTTTCATGGAAAATAAGTTATATCTCTCACTTCATAACTCACCTTCTACCATATTTATGTTTTTTGTCATGCACTATTTACTAAAAATAGCTATACCTTCATAAGATTTATGACTATCGAGACATGTATTACAAAAATAACGTCAAAATTAGGTGATTTATTGAGTGACTATTCATTTCGTTTGAATCATATAATTCTTACTAATAATAACTGTGATAAATTTTTAATAAAATCTTTCTGAAGAATGTACAATTATTTTTCAAATACCACCTCTTTTTTGTAACAACCTGGTTACACCTGTATATTCTAGTGGATACCATAATAACTTACAGTATTTATACTGTTACTACCATTATTATTATTATTATTATTATTATTATTATTAACTGAGACTGGAATCCTTTTTAACTCCGAAGAACCGGCTAATTAATAACTGTTTTATAATATTCAATACTGTCGAGCGTTTACATATTTCCTCATTATTGATTTCCATGATTATCAAAAAATGGTTGTCATGCTATAATTATAGATAGTGTCCATACATCTATTCACAAATCTTATATTCTAACAGTTCAGTATTGTTGAATTCATGAGTTGATTGAAGCTGGAACACCATGGAAAATCTAGCAGCATTGTATGGCCGTCTTGTCCTAGAATGGGACTTAACAGCAGTGCACATTCACGTACACGAACTCAAAAATCTCCAGACTCCTACATTGATAGTTCATTATTGTTTTGCTGACTTTATTATTGAGTCTATTTAACTATGAAGTTGTAAGTCCCTTGATTAATCACAGATCTGTTAAGTAAGGTAATTTATCATGAGACTGAGTTGTTTAATATGTACAACTATCACAATAATGATTTATCAATTCTAATGAATTTTTGGCATGACTATAGTTCATGGATGAACCATTTGGATTTAAAATACCAGGTCGAATTTCGGTGTGAAATTTACTAATCCATATTACTAAATAGCATTTTGGCATTATAACTGATGTAATTTCGTGATATAGACAGTAATTTTAATTCCTAGCTCTAAGGTCCATCTGGAAATTCTAATCTCCGTTCCTCACACTGATTTATAATCCTCACTTAACCCTAGTAAGTTAGTTGGCATTCTCAAAGTTTTTTAAGCATCCCTCAAAGGATGTTCATAAATTACAGTCTCACCGAATTTTCGCTTCACATCGCGTAGTTAATTTATTTATGTGACTTTCATTACTAAAACATACTTTAGAAACATAATTCAATATAATAAACAGAGAAATGGATTCACTACATCCCTCGATCAGTTGTTTATCTTCAAATAATAAATAACAATCAAAGTTTAACAAAAGTAATAAGAATAATAACAATTTAAACTAAAGCTTACTACTTTCATATTTATGGTAATTGGATAAACACGGTCAACACATTAAAGCATGTATGTGTGTGATCGGTTAATATGAAAATAATAATAATATGATCAAATGGTTTACTCTTCATATGATCGTTTGTCAACTTTTTTATTTAGTTCCATATTGCAATTTAAATAAATGACTCAAATTGATTGAATTCTTAAGATTATATATTTGAATGTGTACAACAGAATACAACATGATTTTTAGCTGTCACAGTTACCTATGTTTTCTGTTTATATACAAGATCTTTTTGATTTCAGTATGGGGACTTGTGGAGATTGTAGTATTTGAACATTTGGACTCACTAGTTGGTGTAAACCAAAACACCATTGAAAACTTTAAAGCACTAGACGGCCGTTTCGTACTGGTATGGGATTCATCAACAGTAAAAATCCATGACTCTGCACGCAGAATTCGAACTAAATTATTTGGATATTTTTAACAGTGATATGTAATGATCGTGGAATGTAATAACCAAAGCTATCATTAATTCTACTTTTTAAATTTTATAAGAATACTAAGTTAATTTCATGATTATTCACTGATAAATTGAATTGAATATTCTCACTTTACTATCAAAATAATTGAGAACATGTAAAAGTTATTTATTTTCTGAAAAGTTACCATATATCTACTGATTACGATATTACTTATTTATCATTCCTATGACAAAAAAATTAAACAACACTTAATTTTTTTCAAAACAATACAGTTTTTTACATTAAAATATCATGTGCATAATTGTTTAATATTCTATTTATTATTACCGTTGGATGCCGGCTCAGTAGTCTATCGGTTAAGAGCTCACGCGCGAGACTGACAGCTCCTGGGTTGGAATCTCGAAAGGCGGCATCGTGGATGTGCACTTCTGAGGAGTCTTACAATAAGACGAAACGGCCGTCCAGTGCTACCAGGTTTTCAATGGTGGTCTAGCTTCAATTGACTCATGATCGCATGCCCCCAAATGTCCTGGTACGACCTAGAGTGGGGAGAGTTCGCTCTCCCTCTTGAAATGCTCTCATATGGCTACGTGTATATAGCCTCTGCTAAGGAAGTTCTATTCACTGCCTTCTCGTGGCGGGGGTGTTGTTTACGAAATTGAGAGGACGAAAAGCGAATGCCCTGTGCTTAACCGGGTTAGTGGACATGGTGCGTCCACCTAGGGAACTTGGGAAACCTTGATTCCAAACCAATGGTGCACATGGGCTGCAGTATCCTGAGGGAAAAAGGGCGTATGAATCAGTCGATGGTCACCGGCTACCATTGGACTGCATCTCCTCACGATGCTTCAGTGCCTTGTCGATCAGATCTTTAGGTCGAAGTCTCCGGGTGTGGCTCCCTAAGAAAACCACCTGCTTTGGTTTGAGCACCTGGACAGTATCACGACCCTCATACAAATCAAATGATATTTGTGTAGCTCATTTGTATCTGGTGCCGCTTTGTACCGATATTCATGTGTTTAAATAAATTAACTTAGATATTAATTTTATGGATTTAGTAGTGAATTGAACTCATACCTTAATAACTTTATGTCATAAAAGATTAAAATTCATTTTTTCATTTTAGTTTAACATTTAATAGAATTGATATTATTGTACCGTAATATTAAAAAATATAAATATACATTTATTCATACGAATATTCGTCAAGGTTAGAACGAATAACTTGACAAAAATTAGGCGCTGAGTATAGAGAAGTCATTATATGTGAAAAAATTATATTTGAAATAGTCTCAGCGATTGAAATTTAAATTATTCCAACGTTTCGTCCGGCCAACTTGACTGGACGTCTTCAGGGAGATAATAAAATAACAAAAAAAAATACTATTTATTCATTTTGTCATTATTGTTACATTAAAATTTAAAAAAAAACTTTTTTTTCAAAATAAATAACAAAAAAAATCTTTTACAAAATGAATTAAATTTGTAAAGTTAAATATTAAAAAAAAAATTATTTAACTTTAAATAAAGAGTAAATTAAAGAGATTTGAATAAGTAGTATTTATACAGTAGAAGTGAAATTTTTTTTTGTAAAATATTTAATACAAAAATAATAGTATCCACAAAATGATACGAAAATTTGTTGCATTCCATTTGTGAATACATAAAAAAAAATTAATAATTACATAATCACATTATTGCTTACAGTGTTTAGTGAAAAGAAGAAGAAGAAGAAAACAAGACAAAACAAACTGGTGATGGTGAACATAATGAACATAGTAGACAACCAAGGAAAAGGTGTTATTTAGTACAATTCAATAAGAAAATCTGTTTCAACTTAAGGATTACAAGAAAAGTTATATTCCATGTGCAAAAATCATTTGTCTATATTACATGATGAATTTTAGAAGAATATATATATATATATATATATATATATATATATATATAATTACTTTTTAGTTTTGATTGGTATCATTGAAGTTGTTTTTGATTCATGTGAACATTTACGAACAAGTGAACGTTGATGATTTGTACATGTTGTACTTACAGACCATGTTGAATTCATAGATATTTTACTGTTAATTTTAATATTACCCAAATCATAAATAGATAATTTTGAAGTAACATACCCTGGAGTAGTAGTATTACTTGAACTAGAAACTTTACATAGTACAGAAGAGGAACGTGATTGTGATTGAATCCAGTTAGATGATAAACTTACACTACGAGGTAGATTGTTTCTTTTCGATTTGCCAGTTAAATTTTCTGCACTATTACGTTTTGTTAATTTATCTTTAGATTTCATATTTAATTTATCAGAGAAAATATTTGATTTACGACTATGTAAATCATGATAATAAGCTTGAAGTTGTCCCATAAAATGTAAATTTGGCCCAGCAACAGAACGACGTGCTTGTACAAATTCTAATGCTTTGTAAACATTTAATCCACGATTATTGTATAGAAGATAGGCCATGACAACTGCAACTGATCGTGAAACACCGGCTAAACAATGAACTAAAACGATACCATTATGTTTTCTTGCTTTTTCTGTAAGAATAAGTTAAAAAATATAATGGGAGAAAATTGAAACTCAATAATTTCTACAACCCTATACTGATATATGAAATTATTTGCTACATATATAAATGTCACATTTACTACAACAAATTTATTTAAGTCAATAAGATATACCAAAAAAATAATTAAATATACCTATGAATTGTACAGCTCGATCGAAAGATGGGAGTAGATTTTGTTTTGTAGTATCTGTAGCAGGTATATGCAAATATTGTATCCGATTTAATTTTCTGAATGGCATAGGCAATGTATCTGTCACATTAATTATATGTGTTACATTTAATTGTCTTATCAGATCAACGTCTTGCGAGTCACGTGCATTACCTTTAAACAAATAAAGAGTATTTTTAAGAAAGAGTTAATTAAATAAATAAGCGAAAATGATGTAGAACGCATGTATTACAAGTTTTAATTGCTTAATAAGTACCTTAGGAAATAATATTGTATTGATATTCATTCTATAAAAATGACAGAATAGAGATGTAAACGAAACTTCTGAAGAACACTTACTCTAGTTGATTGATAAATTATTGATTAACAAATGCCATTATTAGTTTTACTAAAGTTTGGTTGAAATAAATACTCTTGAAGTTGATACCTTAGTTCAGGATACAAGTGTGAACTCTTATTTGCATCTATAAATCTTAGCAGTAACTGCAAAGCTTAACCTTTGACTAGGAAACGTCTATGAAGACTGTAAATTCATAAGTGAGTATATATATTTTCGTGGTTATTGTTGGGGATGTCAAATCCCCAGAACTTACTTGGTAAATGGCTTAATCTTGTAGTTTTATTTTGAAAATTTGAATTTAGCTGTTTTAGCGCCAAAAGCGCTCTTTTTACCTTCACGTCATATTTCCCACCTGTAAACTATCTTAACCGCTATTGGTCCTTTGTTTCTTTGTGTGTGCTATTTACCAATGATGCTCAAGGACAAATTGTTGTTGTATAAATGCGCTTGACTTTTTCCATTATTCGATTGCTTGTACTCGGCTGCTTACGGAATACATATATATTCCCCTACTTGCCTTGGACTTCTTCATCTAGTTAGCGGGGCCTGGGACAACAGATTAGAATAGCTTATCGTGTCATTGTGTCATTGGCTTTCGTTCGTTACCGCGGAATCGATTTAGTCTCAGGCATAACAGTTATTTTGCATCCAGCCTTCATTAACAGATAGTATTGTTCTTAATTTTAATGTTCTATAGGTGGTATCGGTTATGGGCAATATCAACAGATTTATAAATCGCATTTTTATAAAGTATCTTTATATGTCTAGAAACTCATCAAAAATAACTTTGTTTCACAGCATATACTTATTTGGTATTCATCTCGCGATAATATTTGTAATTTTCATGACTATATTGACGTAATATTTCTTTTGCAAAAATCATAAGCTATTAGTAATGGGGATCATAAAAATGTCAAACTTTACTTCGAAAATCATAGTTCTGGATAACTTTTAATAATTTGTAATGTGTATTCCAATTAGTTCCCGATTTTTATAAAGCTTGTTTATTTTTTCATTATCAGTTGATAATAGATAAACTAGAGATTTCATATTTTTAATAAATAAGTGAAACAAGATTAATAGTCAGAATATCCTAAAAATAGTGGCTCCGAAAATTTTTAACTATTTGGATCAGTCAATCAGTCAGCTACAACGTACGATCAGCCACATATGTGCATCTGTCCAACTTGCCACACCTCATTAGCACAACAAGATCTACACCGAATTCAAAGAAGTAGTTAATTTAGAGGCGGTAGTATATAAAAGAAAGGTTGTATATAAGAATATAGTACAGGAGGAAAGACAGATATGAAGAAATTTTAATCTCACGGTTTAAGAGAAGATAAAGAGTGCATACACCTGAGCCATCGTGATCGATTCTGAGCTATGTCAGCCACACTCTCCAAACATTGCTTACGATAGTAGCGCGGACCTTAACCAAGTAGTCTGTATCTATCAACATGGCTCAGCCCTGAAGTTAGTGATTTCAAGGACTGATATCACGTTCTGGTTCGGCCGTCACTAATTTCTTTCTATTCGTCTCTGACACTGGTTAGCATTGCGCGTCGTGATAACCGGTGTTCAGGCATACTTAACACGTGGCCCAATCATCTCAGTCGATGAAGATTTAAAACCTCATCAACTAATTTACCCTCATTCTCTAATATCATGCGTCTAACCTCATTATTACTTACCTGGTGATCCCAGTACGAGCGAGCAATATTTCTAAGACATCTGTGGTCAAATACTAGTAACTAATGATTTGGGTACTGTGATAACTATCATTAGGTGAACGATAAAAGCGAAAAATAAATTTCAATATTTATAGAATTCTAGGTAATAAAATTTATGCCATGAAAACTCAATGAAATAAACATTGAGCCATAAATATCTTTGTGTTAGTGGGATATAGATTGAATTAAGCATGTTTTATGAATGATGGTGTTGCTGCGTGCTGATTGGTTAATTCTAAACCGATCAGCCCGGGCATATTATTGCAGAAAAATCTATAAGCTTCTTATGTATATACTATAAATATATGAACATTATTTAAACTATTGATTGCTGTTCACATACCATTATTATTTGAATACAATTTGATTCCTGTTCAACGTGTTCTGATTTTGGGGTCTTGTCGAGTGTCATCGTATAAGAATACTAAGCAATAGGAATAGCTGGGTCGTTTACAGAGCAAAAATTACATTTACAACGCTTTGGTAAAATGGTTATTAGCAATAACTGGTCAAATTCTTTCTGAATGAGATCCTAGCAGCTGATAATCCAACGAAAAAATGTTGTTTTGTTTAATGATGAATATTCTGAAATCTGTATGTTAAAAGCTACCTTTTCACTGATCATCAAAACTCATCTATACTTTTAAAGAAGTCCATGTCTCTTCACGTTTTTTGTGTTTCCGGTACCAAAAACAGATATTATATTAAGGAAAAAGATGAAGTACCCACTTATTGTTTTGAAATATCCAGGAGTACACACAACTTACCCTGCACTGGGAAAAAATTGCTGTATGTAAATGTCTACCTACTTTTACAGTTGTAAAATTTAGTTCCATAAAACATGAACTTAAATACTATATATATTTAATTATATAGCAATTTTGATGAATACAAAGATAGACTGTCAATTCTAACTAAGCTGATATTTACTCTTATCAAAACAGAATGAATTTAACACATTTTACGTACAAGCTACGAGAAAATGCCTAAAATTAGTTACAATCATATCGAAAATCTTTTCTTATAAATTCAACTTCATAAGTCATTCACACTCATAAAAACTTCTCAATTAAAGGTCTTGTTGAAGTGAATAAAATCAACTTTAACAATAAAAGGATAATTAATAAGAAAATTTCTATTGATGTGAAAATAACTAACAAAAAACGTAAGGTGTTTCTAAAATATCTCAAAGAAAGTATAAGTTCCATTATGATACAGTTACGTAAACTGAGTGTTTGTCATAACAGTATAAGCATTGAAAGCGAATTCCTTATCATAAATATCTAAAGTTTACAGTATATACTTAACGTCACAAATTAAATCAAGCACAATCATTTCGTGATTTATGTATATGTGTAATACAATGACTAAATAGTATAGCTCACTATGGAGGAAGCACATATTTGTAAAATCTCAGTGAATAAATTCGAAGTAAATCCAAAGTTTCGCCTAATAACCTGGTCCAAGATTTCTCAAACAAACATAACCAAACATAAAAATTATTGAATATGAATAGGTACATGATTCTCTGGTTAACTGTATACTAGATAGGTCATCTAATCAACTTACTTACTTACTTACTTTCGTCATCTAATCAACGTTAACAATAATTAGAGTAGATATTTGCTTTAGTATGTAAGAGATATGTGATGTGAAACGAAAAGTGTGTTAAGATAACAGATTGTTTGTATTTGTTAGTAGTGTGAGAATAAATTTCATTCACTTTATATTTCCGTTGATCAATGAAAGCATACAAGTCTTATATATGGTCTGAATCAAATATGTCACAGCATGCACACCATGAAGATAAATAAACAAAATAAAAACGAAGCAATCAGTGTTTGTGTTATTTTCATTGTTCCATTTAATTGTTTAATATATTCAGATAAGACAACTGATTGGAGTAGTTGAATGTAAATGTTGTTTATTTATCATCGTTTCATGCATACTGTGATTCATATCGTATATAAGACTTGTATGCTTTTGATGTTGGTTTGTTCTCCGAGCTGGGTGGTTTGGTCGTGGAGCTTTCATCGTCCTTCTGAACGACATCAGCAGCACAAACTTCGGGTAGAAGTGAAGTGTTTGAATTTCTCCACATGTGATTCACAGCTTGTCCTCTGCACCTCGATGTTGATTGGTCCTTATTGACCTTAAATCTGTCATTGTTTATTTCTTTGTTTCGGTTGTATCTCCTATTGGTTTGATTTTTGTTCCTATCTTCCTGCATAATTTTCTTGATTGGTTGATAGATTGGATTGATTTCAATATGTTTGTTTATTGCTGATTGACCTGAGTGCCAAGCTTCTAAAAATTCTCTGGTATTTTTGGAATTACCTCTGTCCAAAATCTGCACGTTATCCCAGTCGAATGTATGTCCGTAGTTGTCCACGTGTATTGATATGAGTGAAGAAATGTCGTGACGTTTGACTGCTAATTGGTGTTCATGTAGGCGAAGGTGCAGGGGGCGTCCGCTTTGTCCAATATAGTGTTTGTTGCAGTTGGTACAATTTATCTTGTAGATGATGTTTGTTTTGTCCTCTTTTGCTATTTCATCTTTTGGTTTGCATAAGATTGAGTGGAGGGACTTTGTTGGTTTGTGGGCTACACCTATTCCGAAGGTTTTCAGCAGCCTTGTTGTCGTTTCCGATATGCCCTTTATGTATGGTAGGGTGATCCTTTTGTTGATTTTCATACCTGATTTCGTTTCTGATGGTGTGTGTGACTTGTATGCTTTCACCGATCAAATGCAATATATAGTGAATGAAATTGTAATTTATGGACGAACCAAACAGATTTAGGAAAACATGTCTTGGATTTAGATGGCAATTTCGTTTATCCTTTCAGCTAAATAAGATTTTGGCATTTTAACTGGTATCAGTTCGTGACGAAAACCCTAAATCTAATTTCTTAACCTAACCATCAACTGTAAATCATAATTCTAATTCCTCAAATTAGTTTATAACCATCATTTAGTCCTCGTCAGTAGGTGTGTAGTGAATGAGAATTCCAGTAGGGACAACCAAATGTATTTAGACACAAAATTACTGAACCTCTCAGTAAAGTCTGAGAACCATAAC